GCCGAGGAGGAGACCCAAAGGGCTCACTGCCAGACCTTGATATGGAAATCCACAGGCAGCGTCCTGGAGCCCACCAGCCGCTTCATGAGGTACCCCTTCCAGTCGGTGAACTTGGCATGGATGGCTGTGAAGACACACGCAGAGTCCTGGTCACACAGACTGATGACACGCTCATGGATGGGGGCACTGGAGCCGCCCCAGAGACCAGCCAGGGCGGCCGAACGACTCCTTTCTGCCTCTTGAGGCCAGCGATCACCAGTCTGACGAAACGGGGCTACCCAACGTGGACCTGCCACAGGGCCTCTGGGACTGGGTGGGATGGGAAGCGAGGAGGTAAGTGGGCTCTGTTCTGGCCTAACCTGACCAGATGACACCCCTTCTACCAAGGGCCCTGCAGGAACCAGGACAGGGAATGTTCTCCACTCACTCCGTGGGGGCACGAGGATCTTGCTGTTGATGGCGCACCAGCCGATGGGGTGGACATCCACGGTCCCCAGGTTGCACCAGAAGTCATGGCTGGCATCATTTTCAAAGCCTTCATACCGGAGCAGCACCCGGTACCCTGGAAGGGGAAAGGCACCAGTGACGGAGGCAGCATTGGGAAAGTATAGTGTCAGGTTTTTCCCTCCTCCAGCCTAAACCTGACTTTCTGCTGCCAATTTCAAGAATTCCTTCCAGCAAGTGGGGTCCCTGTCATCCATGACTGTCAGAGCTGAAGTAAACCCACATCACTTACTTGATATGCCATATGGTGTGGTGGTGAGAATTAATTTTCTACTGCCTGATCATCCCTGGAATAAACTTTAAAAATGGGGTTCCATGCTTCCCAATCCTGTAGTTCCCTCTAAGCTGGGAAAGGCAGGTAGGCCAATCCCAAGAAGAAAGGCAGAAACACCAGTAGGTGGGTTTGTTTTATGAAGCCACCTGCTGCCTACAATATGCCCACCTGCCTGGCAATGTCACCGTGCAGCCCCTGCCCCTGCCCTGGCCAGAGGACTGCCTACCTGCTGCCTGCATGACAGAGGCGATCCAGTACACCCGGCTGGGGAGCACGGCGTCGCTGTTGAGCACCTCCACCTTCATCCCCTTCATCACGTCCTCCCACTGGTCATAGAGTGGGACCTGTGTGGGGACGAGAACGCCCAGGGGAGCGGTGAGCTGCCTGGACAGGCAGGGAGAGCGGCTGCTGGCCGCACGCGCCCTCCTGGGTACCTCAGATTTTCACACTGCTTACTGTTGAATCAGGTATGTGAAATCCAAGTACAATGTAACTGCCCAACAATGAAAATGCCAGGACTACTAGAGAATTCAGGGCGACAGGGAGCCTTCCCTACTAGCAAAGCTGTGCACTTTCATCATCAGTTCAGACAGGAGAGGAGTAAAGGAGTTCAGCTGCTTTGAGGGTCAACCTTCCATTGCTTGGGGCACTTCAGAGCTCAGAAAGGAGAGACTAACAAGTGGGTTCACCCCTCCTGGATCAGGGAACTCCAGGAGTCAAGAGGCCTCCCCTGGACTTCCTGGGGTTCAGGGAGTTAGCCCTGCGTTAGGCGTCTCTCCCGCCCTGCGGACACCACAGGCTGCAGATGCTGTGGTCACATTCCTTCCACTCTAAGGCCAGTCCCCCCGGGCTGTACCCTTCTGGTGTTTCTCAGCCATAGCGGCTCAGGGAGCCTTTGGCAGGTGTGAGCTCAGGAGGCAGCACACTGGCCTCCCAGGAGCCACGCAGCCCAGGACGGCTGAGAAGCAGAAGCTTCCAATGGGAACACAATAAAAATGGGGAAGGAAGAAAGGAGAGTGGTCTCTTAGGCATCAGTCCCACAAAGTTCCAGGATGTGAGCAAAGTGGGGACCCCTGAGGGGAAGCACAGTGCTAAAAGCCCTCAGTGAGGGTTCGCAGGTTTTCTTTTTGAACAGAAAGTGGATAGAAAGATAAACTTTCTAGAGCAAGTGGCAAAGCTGGGCTTTTCAAACACCCAGACCTCGGCGCTGTTCCCTCCCCCGTGCCCATGACGACCTGCAACAGTGCTCAGGAGGCAGGTGGGTAAACTGAG